TGGCAGTGCAAAATTGCAAGTCCTATTGGACCATCTTCGTTGAGTGAGACCACGCACTAGTCTTAAAGTAGTTCACTCTCCGACTGACTGGCCGGCGACGAATTCAGCAAACTCCTATAGCTCATCATCGACTATCTGTTCCAGCAGTTCGTGTCCGATATGAATCAGGGCTAGCGCGTGGACTAAGCGCGCCGCAACCTGGTGATGTAGATGAGCAGTGGGATCAGATTAGGCGAGCAATGCATTTCGCAGTGAATGCTGCTTGTGGGTCTGAGCCTCAAGCCCGTCGGAGGTATTGGGTATCTCAGGAGTCAGTAGCCCTGATGGAGAGAAAACGACAAATCCCGACCTGTCAGGATCAAAATAGAGTTAGGTGGCACCTACAAAGTCGGCTCACGAAGAGCCTCAGGAAGGATCGGGAGAACTGGTGGCCAACAATAACTAATGAAATAGAAGTAGCAGCTGCATCAGGGAATAGTCAAAGACTGTTCCGACTGATACCCAATACGGGAAGTCGGCAAACTGAAGTTAGTGAAACAGTCTGTGATAAGGTGGGACAAGCTATTCACAATAGGAATGAACCGCTTGATGGCTGGGCGAAATACTTCAGAGAAAAGTTCAGCTGGCCTGCTGCAAACCAGGTTGCCTCATCCGCAACCGAAGCTCCTTGGGCAGTGGCATGCGATCATCTAACCGAAGCAGAAGTTAGGTCTTGCATTCAAGCTCTGAAACAAGGAAAAGTAGCAGGAATAGATGAGCTCCCTCCCACTCTTTTCAAGATGGGGGTGATAACCTCGTAAGCTCTATTACTACCCTACTGTGCAACATTTGGATGCAAGAACATATTCTTTCATCTTGGGGCGAATCACTGATCGGTCCCGTTTTCAAGAAAGGATGTCACAAGGACCGCGAAGAATTACGTTAACTTACTGAGGTCACATTACTCGCATACCTCTGGTCGTGTAAGGTTTTCTGATGAACTAAGTAGACCATTCGTCACCTACAGCGGCGTTCGTCAAGGGTGCCCTCTTTCGCCGTTCCTGTTTAATTTCGTCGTAGACGAAATATTGGAGAGCGCACTAAGTGGTCTCCAAAACGTAGGTATTGAATGGGAAGCAGGAGAAAAGCTGTGCGATTAAGAATACACCGATGACGTCGTCTGTGCAGTTAATCCGGGCTGGAGGAAACTATGTGGAGTTCAACAGATGACGTGGAGACGAGGCATGAAGAACTGCACAGAGCCATTAGGTATAGTAGGTGTCTCTAGCCTTCCAGGTTGGGGTCCGAAAGACTCCACAACTGGTTGGTTGGAGACACTGAAGGATATGGCAGCGAACCGACAGCAGTGGCGTTCTTGTTGTCATTTCTTATCAGGCCAGAACACTTGAAACGGTATGTATGCAGAGTTCGATTGTGCACTCTGCGTGATGACCATAGTGGCTTTCCTTCCTCCCCCTGCTTTAAAGTAGGTCCAATCCCTGTCCATCTCAAAGTTTATCACTAATCTTGTATGCATTGGGAGTTTGGCAACGATCAGTGAAGTTCGCTTCACTGTATTTCGCTGTACGATGATGATGATTGCACATACCCGTTGAACCGTTTTGTGATCTGAATTTATGAGCATAGCTCAGTGGCACATAATTCATTGTGAACGAAGAAAAGACTAAATAGTCTCTCTCACTTTTTCTTATCAATTTGCTTTGTCTCGTGAACCGATTCCTTACCTTTTTATGGTGAGCCGATTATCATGACGGTCGTGTGGATGTGTACAATCATGGCAAGTAAAGTATACCATTCTGGGAGTATTCTGTATGCTTTTAATCAAAATGGGGATCAGCGTGATCAATGGTTAGACGCATTGAGTGTCGCAGTCAGTGGTACTTGTGCATCTGCGCATTGTCCCTGCCACTTCATCGATCGTGAATTCTCTATTTTCACTCTGACACTGATTTGAAAACTCCAGCATTCCCTTTACTCGTTCACCGAAATGGGAAGTCATGAGATGCACGAAAACGTAGGATTAACGGTTGTAAAACCTAAAGCCGAATCAAAATATAACCAAGCATATTATAACTATTTCCTCAGGCACAGAGCGTGCATTGTCACATGATTCTTTCCTCATTTAATTCAAAATTAAAACCAAAGGCTTCTCCTCCAAACCACACAGATCGAAAACAGTAAATGTAGTGTCGAACGCCTTTGGTTGTCTCATAGGAAAGCACCGTTGTCTAATCTGAGGGTTTGATGCGGCTCTCCAGGCTGGGCTGTCTACCTATTCCATTCTTTTCCAGAATCCCGATCGTCTCTGACTCACGCAATCATGTGGAAACACTCAGACCATTTCACCACGAAACTGCAGGCGCCTCAAATTGTCATACCAGATTAATGTAGGACGAGTATAAAACACTTCTAGGATTCCGAACGACTAACCTGAACCAAGAAAGAGAAACATTTCACATCACCCATCGCAATTGAATCCCTTCTCCATCAGGAGGTACTGCTAGCTTCACAAGCACATAAGCATTGGTTGTCTCACACCCCTAACAAAACCTTGACACTAGTACTTCCATTTAACTCCCTTGTTGTTGTCTTATCATGTGCATTCAGTCGTACCACAATATTCTCTATCTATTGCACCAGATGCATTCTCTGAGGCGACGATTTTTCTGGTTTAGTTGTAGTGCGTGCCGTTTTCGTGTACCACCAGTGATCCGACTGGTATTTCAATTTGATCTCTGCCTTACCATGTATTATCATTAAGATATGTTCCCTCAATCAAGCAGAGTCATCCCAACGATTCGCATGCATATACGTCCTGTCAGTCCTGTGCAGTAGAATAACTATACATAGAGAGAGATTTTATACAATAGACATTCATTTTGCTCCCTCATGCATACTAATTCAAGCAATCATCGTGTATGCAAACATATACGTCCGAAAAAATGTCTTTTTACTTCCTTTTTCCATTTATTGAATATACACGCCTCGGTATGGTCGGGGTGGGTACCTTTGGTTGTAGTTGGTTACCCTTCCCTTGCACCTCGCGGAATGCCCCTATACGACTAAATGTCTATAACAGCCTCTGTTGAGGAAGCCCAACTCACTGTCATCTCGAGGCGGAGATGTTTCCCCACCAAAATGAGAGGATGAATAGCCGACATCCGGGGCTATAACCGGATTGGTGAACCACTGGCAGTTCACTTAAGAATCTAGCTAAAAACCCTCATTCCAAACCAGCCAAGAAGAGGTGTATATGTCACACACATACACACACCTTTCTGGTTTTGGCAATGGTTACCGGCTCTGTTGAGCATATTGGACGTTTGACCCCGTCCAAAGGGTGTATGATCCGATTAACTGGGCACCAGTACCCAATGAACTGCGGTTTTCACACACTGCCCCACTGCGTGGCGGGTTAGGCTTTGGCTGGTCAAAGGCTCCAGTTGCGAAATCCTCAAGAAAATTTACCAAACTTGGCCTGAGAAACCTGGCGGTATTCCGCCCACAAACAAATTATGGGACTTTCTTTGTCTTATAAAGATTATTGCACCATAATTTGTTTGGCGCAGTCTGGGTTCAGACGTGTGTGATACACACCGAGCCCATGCCCACAGAAGGACTTACGAGATGTTTACGTATTTCCACTGCATCAAAAATATGAGCTATTTGCCTTCATTTTACTTCCAACTCTGTCTAACCCAAAATAACCCCCGTAACTTTCCTGGCCCTTCTACCCGATAAACCGATTTCGGCTTATCTGAAGACCACAAATGTGTACAGAATGCTGTTCACCGACGAATAATATACGTGTTCTGGTTCAGACTATATGCCAAACGGTGTGCTTCTTTAGCCTTTCTCCATTGTAACGTCCGAGTAAGTCCCAAACATATCTGGACTAAAGCTTCCACTTTTTGATTCCTCCATAACCGTATGAAGGAAAATGATGTTATTTACCTCCTGACGTTAATCTATTTTACGTTGCAGTAACTGTTTGATATCTGGTTTGTGGCCTCTTCTCGATTGTTCCACCGCTAGTGAAATGGTATTTTTCAAAAGCAGTTTTAAACTCTTGTTTTGGTTAATTGCAATTCCCGAGCGAAGAGCAATTCTAAAGAAGTAGAGCACCCTGAAAGGAGCTAGGTCTCCAAAATAACATTTTGTTCAGGGAACTTGGCCGTCGCAAATAAACTGTATGAAATTAGGCGGGAAATCAAAGAACTCCAGAGAGTAAGACGCAAACCACAGAATCATGCGAACTCTGGGGTCAGTGAGTTCGCATGAACTACGAAAAAAAAGAATACGACATTTCAACAATGAAAGTAAGTAACCTAATCACAAGAGAGTGAAGTGAAGAAATGGACAAGGCTTCTATGTGATATTGTTAGGGCAAAGTCGAATGACAGGAGTGTTCATGACCAAAGGTGTAATGCGGTGGCGAGTTTCACTTATGGAGGAATACCAGAGCTACCAACACACGTCGCTCAACCACAACAATCCCAAATATTTACTTGAACCAATGTAGCTATATTCCTTCGGATAGTTCGGTTTTTAATCCTAAAATTTCTTTACAAGTTATGAAGCCTCCGGTATAGAACGTTTGTGCTTAACTCGAAAATAGACGGCCCAGTCTTTAAATTTCTAAATGTCTATTGGAACCTCGGGTATATAACAACGTCAACCCCTAGGACTTAGTTTGCCGACTGCATCTTCAAAACGCTGCAGATCTTCTTCAAGAAATGATCCCCTATTCTACTGTACACAATGCAGTGGACTGAGACAAAGACAGCTTAGACATGCAACCTAAAACGTTGTGTACAGCTTAATTTACTTGGCCACTATAAAACATGATGATTTATTATTGATGATTTATTAACTGGAAACAACTTATGATAGCATACGAAAATGTAGCATGCATTCACTCCTAGCCAGAAACACAATACGTCTCCAAGTTCCAGTTGGTGATCTTTTCAAAGCCGCATATGCCATAGAGCGGAACTAACCTGGTCTGAACTCCAGTACTAACTCGGGAAGATACGGTGGCAGTTCTGCATAATTCAACTCGGAAACTTCCACATCCACCCCAGTGGTTCTTCGTAAATTGGAGTCATGCAAAACTACCACTTCACCGTCCTTCGTCAAATGACAATCGAGTTCAAGCATATCCGAACCCAGAGCGACAGCACTTTAAAACACAAACAGAAGATTGCAATGGTTATGAAGTTAATGTGGACAAACGCACTTTTTGAAAGCCTCCATTGTGTTTTCTATTCGTTCTCCGGCACCTAATAATTTGTCATCAAGCATGGACTCAGGTAACACTTACCTCCGCGGTGGCTTATATGTCTGGGTGTGAAGACTGCCTTCTTATGTGGTTGATGCAATATTTGCGGACAGAGGAAGAGAACGTAGGACGTGAACGCGTATAGGATTAAAAGAGCCAAGACAAACTCAAGCATGTCCAGCTGGCAAAACAGGAAAAACAATACTGGTAATACGATAGCAGGTTGAATACAAAACAAGTAACGTGAAGCAAACGTATCAATTAGGGATTTCAATCGCTCGCAATAGCAGCGTTCAACAAAATACGAAACTCATGTGTGTGTTGCCTAGGTGAAAAGCCAAATGATTCGTGAAAATGGACAGCGACATATCAAGTTTCACAGTTGCATATCCACTGCCATAGAATTCACGCCGAATGGTTATACTTTTGTCCCTGAAATAATATCCACAGAACTCTGATTTTCGATCTTCAGAACTTGGTAATTAGACTCAAGTAAACAGATTCATGTTATCCCGTTTGCACAGTGATATTATTTCAACACAAAACTAAAAAAGTGATAGACAGAATCACGGCTACGCTGATTTGCCGTGATAAGAATAGATCTCAAACCCCTTTTTGGTCTCAATGTTCAGTGCAAACAACTCCCTTGGTAGTGGTATCAACTTAAATGGAACAATAAACAAGAGTGAACAATACAGAAGTCACAAATTTTCCCTAAATCGACAAACCAGTGGCATTGACTGGTTATGAGGACATTTCGATTGGAAAGACGAACAAAAGTAAAGAGACTGTGCTTTTTTCGCGTCATATATGTGTTAAAAAGGAAATGTTATTATCAGAAAGGCATTGATAGCCGGTCAAAAGCGAACAACACACTGAATTGAAACTCAAAGACCTTCCGTGACGAATCTCCACAAGCTCCCCCACGGGTGCATTGGTCACGCTCCCGCGTTGGATCTAGACAGCACTGCCATATGCGTCAGAGTTTTGAACCAAAGGATCCGGTCAAGTTTCCCAAAGAAAAACCCTTTCGATGGTATGGGCTACCGCGTAGTACGTAGCACCCTATAAATGTATATATATATATATATATATTATAATAAGTAGTTTGTGAATTACTGGAAAAAATTTCCCTGGGAGCTCAAGATCCGTTTCACGGTTCTTGCTGCTCGTCAGGCATGCGGTTAGTAGCATCTAACCCACGTACAAAACATTGGATCATGGCATTGATTCTTCCCTGGACTAGCTGTGAAAAAGTCACCCGGTGTTGTAAACAAGGTTATTGTTACGAATATATATACTCTCAAAAGTGGGAATTTCTGCAGCTCACGTTGCATATTTAAGGAGGGAATGAAGACGTACACTGAGTTGTATAATGTTTATTGTAACGTTTCGATCCAAACCAGGACTCCTTATCAAAAGTAAATGGAATGAATCATTTACTCCAATCCCTTGGGCACAACCTGGAAGGCGAGCTGCAACCGCCAACACCAAAGTTGATACTGACTTCTTCTTGTCACTACGCCACGTCATGGTCTGACCGGCGCAGTACTTCTACCAGCCATGCCCAGTATGTGCAAAGAGAACAAGACGTACGAATAACCCGAACATCGGAAGCGCTGTAGATCGAATATTACCTTTGAGAACGACTGCCCATACGCAACAGAGGACTCGTCATTGCTCGTCGAGGTTTTCACCAGACACAAGCAATGCTTCGGAGATATCGGCAGTCGAATACAGAAAGTTGATTAGCATTCTCAACGCGGAGGGGTAATGTCTGGAAATCGTAAAGCAGAACATTACGAACCGCGGCTATGTACACTATTTCCTTATTGGTTGTAGCTGAAGAAAGTGAGTCAAGAAGAGCTACCAATGTTATGGAACAGCCGCTGAAAATAACATGAGGAAACACCAGCAAGATTTAAGGCTGCAAGGATAAACTGCTGAGAGCTAAAAATGAATCCTTCTAAACTGAAACTGGTGGAACGTTCTGTGCGTTTTTAACTGGTGCATCAAACTTAATAAAATATATGAAAAAAATAGTTTAGAGTATGGGAGACATGGGCAAAAAGCAAAAACATGGGGTTTCACAATATCGCAGCTTTTAAACAAACCAGGGTTGAAAACCAGTATTTTGGTCAGTCGACACATGGTTTCTGCACAAGAATGGTGTGGAAGAATCGAGGTGATTTTTCCACCTCAACGTAAACATGGAATATAATGAAATGGATTGATTTCATCCTCCAACTGTTTATTTCAAGGATTCGAGATGGATGTGATTCATGCACGGCAAAGCAATTTTAGTGATTCAATTTGAAGACAAAGCTGGTAACTGAGAAAAAAATCAAGATGTTTGCACTATATTCACATGGTGGACTGAGCGTGGGGGGTTTAATGATCAGCAGCGAGTCACTCTGTGAGACTTGGGTTGATAAGATTCCATCCGCTGCGTGATATCAATGGGTGCTTGATCCGTTGCAAATCTTAAATATCTACTGATTACCTATTCCCATCGTCTTTGAACTCATCATTGCCAGGAATTTACGTTTGAAGTGAATTATCCCATATAACTCGGAAGACACCTGTGAATAAAACTCAAGCCAAAGATCTAGTAATGCCGTATGATGACCATCAAGTGATTTCATCCTATGGTATGCACACGGAAACGTCAGACGTAAGATTCACTAATAGTACACCTTTTATTGCAGCCGTATGCCATTATTGAGCTTTTTAAATAAGATTGTGTGGCCGAATGTACCACGAGTTGATTATTTAGGAATGGCTAAACATTTTGTCCGGAGATGGAAATTAGAAGATTAATGAATTTGTGGAACATTGCAATCCTCCACCAATACGCAATGCAGGAAGTACGAGTGCATCAAGCTGTGGGTAAGTATATGATATATGATATAATAACTTCCCTTAGAAAACTAGGCCAAAGGTGTGCAACTACAGAGCATCTTGAAGGAACAATCTGAAGTTTAGTCTAAGGATGAACTGGTGGCCAAGGAACGCTATGGCAACGTAAACCTTGTGATGGCATACACTGACGTTGTGGTACGCCAAGGCTAACTTTAGATAATACCCTTGACGAAATTGAGCACACTCATCGATCTGGACAAATCCAAAGGTCCAACTTAATTGGAGGACGTCTGTTTTCAAACCTATCCCCAAACTGGACATTAACAAATTGTCATCTATTAGCAGGTGCTCAATTTCTAACGATTGGACCCAATTTAGAAGTTTTCAGTTTAAACAACCATTAGGCATGCATTTCGGTGCGACACTTTTGGTTGTTATCTTTTGGCTGCCCAATTGGATGAACATAAGGAGAAAAACAGGAAAAGTTGAAAGTAGAATCAAAAAAATTGGGATTTCATTTTATTAATTTTGCAAAGAAATCGACAAGATTCACGAACGCCACTGATTACGACGCTCAGCCACATCACTCAGTGTCTCTAACCATCGGTTACGATCATCCCCAGGTCCCCAGCCGGGAAGCCTAAGGGGACCTATGTGACCCAGACTCCTGGTTAGGGTTTTCATACCCTCGTGCCAGGTCTTAACTTGACCACCCTTGGCTTTTTTCCACTCGGTGTCTGCTTCGGCAAACA